TTTTAATTTTTGTTTGTTTAATGTTTTTTAGATGTATTTATGGTTTCATTGTTTTTAGAAGGGCGCCATGGGCCCCTTGTGGTGGGGGAGATAGGCGGCGGATAAATCCAATAAAATAAAAAAATAAAATAAATAAACAAACTGGTTTGATGGTGAAATCATTTTACACCAGCTGAAAAAATGTTATCAAAACTTCCAACTATCTAGAAAAACCGCATGGATGCTAATTATATTTCCCCCTAAGAACAGGCTCATCTTTATATAATATAGTTTTTATAAATGTTTTTATAAAGCATTCCTAAAATATTCCTGTATTTTATATGTTTTGATAATTATACATAACTAATAATTGCTTGAATTTGTCCCTTATTTAAAACATAGCTGTACACACATCTGTCCACAGATAGACAACATGGTGTTTTTGAGATGTTTTGAATTGTAACAACAGTAACCCTCACTCAACTGGGCCAATGGTTAGTAATTATGGATGCTGCTATATAAAACATCTTGGGGGCTCCAGATTGGCTATCCTTGCTTTAATATGTTGCTTTAAGGATAAAGAACACAGTCATTTTAGTTATAGAACAAAACACACCTTTATTCGGTCAATGACCAGCAAATTTAAAAGAACAATCACAGAGTAAAACAAATTGATAAATATATTAAAAGACAAGTCACGTAATAATAAAATTATTAGATAAAAATTATCTGTTAAAACTAAGGGAGTCAGTCCAACTGGAAAGAATTGTATTTTAAGCCAGTAAATTATCATCATCTCGCAGGACCTAACCTGAATTAATGGCATTCCTGTCTCAAGTCTTAACTTGGCATTTGGAGTTAATTTTAGATATATTTTGCAAAGCTCACCATGGCTAAAATTAGAGTCTGAAGTCTACAACCTAGCAGAAATGATTATATTTATTTGAAGACCTCTAACCTTGTATCAAATCCATATTAATAGTGCCATCAAATCTCCAATTAGACATCATCCAGCCATAACAGAAAAAAATATTGCTTGAACAAAAATATTACTAAAGGAACTCTTTGGATTCCTGGAAGGGATTTCCAGTTGTAAAATAAAGAATCAGAAACTGTGTGGCACACTGAAAGTAATTAGGACAATAGTTATATAAGATTTTACTTCAACATGTTTAGTTGCAAATTTCATCTCTATCCCCAATGTACATTCACATAAGCACATTTCCCAGCCAGCTAGGTCTGACTTTGGGTCAATCATTCTCTCTTAACCCAACCCACCTCACAGGGTTGCTATTGTGGAGAAAATAGGAAGCAAGACCATTATGTATGCCACCTTGAGTTGTACAAAAATAAAGGTGGGATATAAATCTAATAATAATAGTGATTATGATGTAGCTGTAAAAAATATAGGGCAAGCTATCTTCTTCAACTAATAATTCACAATTTTTTTGCCATTTTTGGTACTTCTCCCTTATATAAAGTATTTATGAAAATATATAAATCAAAGGAATGTCAATTTGATGGAGGTGGAAAGGGGAGAGAAATTATTTAGAATAAAAGCTGGAAAATCAGGAAATTTAGAAAATACAGAAAGTAAAATTATTTTTGAGTCATTTTGTTTATATACTATACTTAGATAGGTTTTCATAACTTATCTCTTGTCATCATCTTGATCTGTTCATAGGTACAGTGGTACCTCTACTTACGAACTTAATCCGTTCCGTGACTCTGACTGCAAGTCGAGTTGGTCGCAAGTCGAAGTAAATTTTCCCATAAGG